GATTTTCACCCTATAATTGCATTAAATAGATTTTTCACTAGGCCTTAAGGTCTAACCCTCATTTTGTGTTGCAAAAATATGCATTACAGGTCGTACTAAATCAAAGAATAAAGGAAAGAGGAAATTGTGAGATGTCTTATATGCTTACATGAGATGTGGAGGACATCATGTTTATTTGTGATCTTTTTGAAATATTTGTTATATATACAAGTTTTGTGCATGGATGTTGTAGAAAAAAATTTGGTAGTTTTTGTATATTTAGGACCGAATATGTATATTTGTATTTCTTGATATGTGAAATATTTGGTTATATGCAAATGTGATTATGGAGGTGTTACATTAAGTCGGGGGCATTTTTCATCTTTTTATTAAATTTTTAATTTTTTACCAATCAAAAACCAAAAAGACCAAAATTGTAGTTCACGCCGACCAACATCATTTTCTCTCCGGCCAAAACACACATCAAAATCAAATCCAAATTAAAATCTAAAATTCAAAATCAATTTCAAAATCCAAATCCAAATATAAATATAAAAAAAATGATTAATGGAGAAGAACCATAACTAATATATATGCCGATGAAGACCTGCTATTGGGGTCGGTGAGGTTCGATGTGTGTGTATTATAGTAAGGAGTCGTTTACCCAAATATTTACCCGATAATAGCTTACCAATAAGATTCAAAACTTACATTTAACTTATAAGATAAGATTTTAATTCAATAAAATGTCATAATATGCAACAATTCATCTGATAAATGCTTATAGTAAGAGTTGTCACTCTCATTTACCAAGTAAGACTCTTGGTCTTTATCATCGCTCTTAGCCTCTAACCGGGAGTTCCCGATTCTTAATCTTTGTCATGTTCATGCGATAAGGTAAAGTGACTCGGTAAGCATTTGTCGGGTAAACGTTTAGTAAACAACCACTTATAAGTTACATTTTTGTATACACATCAGAGTAAGTTATATTTATGGTCCTTGTAATTTACATATCTATTTATTTGTTAAAGAAAAAGAAGATAAAGTGGAAACAGACTAAAATAGCCCCGACTTAATGGGTTCTTTTAACTGGCATTACAGACAGGTACCAAGTCCAATTGTTTTTACATACCACAATGGTCAATTTATAATTTCAAAACTATAGGGACCAAACTTGTAGTTTACTCAATTATTGTATGCTTCTAAACCTTCAAATTGTGTACCTTTTAAAATTCAAATTGTGTATGCTACGCAGCTAAACTACTACAATTAATTCATTCTTTAATTTTGTGATACAAAATAATTGATAACATATGCACCTATATATATATTTATTAAATTAATTAATTGGATCTTTGTTTATCTCTTTTGTAGCTAGCTACATCTTCATACAATTTAATGTACATAGACGATGACACTTATCCATACAAATTACACGTGAATTTTTTTTTCCATATGTACTCGGTTTACAATTTTTTATGTGTTTGTAAAACAAAAATTATACGTAAAAAGTTTTTTATATTGTGAACTGAATACATATGTTAATCAATACGTTAAATACATACTTAGATGAAAAGAAACAAAACCTTAAGATATGAGTTCTCATGGATCTCATAAAATTTAAAGTTCTCAAATGATTAAACCCTTATATATATATATATATATATATATATATATGTGTGTGTGTGTGTGTGTGTGTGGTCATTTAAAAGAGAACTCAATAGTTTATGATAACTGTGAGATTTGATATCAATTTCTCATTATTAATATTCAAAAGATTAAAATTAATAATGTTAATTTTGATAATTATCAATTAATTTAAAAAAGAAAATAGATTTATGAATAATATTTAGAGGTAAAGTAGTCTTTTTGTAGATCTCTCTTCTCTCTTTGGCGACGAACCTTACTCCAACAAAACCTATTCCGGTGAAAGCCAATGTGATACCCAATATAATACCCAAGAACTTCTAAATAATAAAACACAAACTCACTGTAATGTCTACTGTGATATTTAAACAGTAAGACACAAATCCACTGTGATACCGCTCTAAATATGGATTGAGACCAAATCTGATTTGGGATTGGGTCGGTTTTAGACGACACATAACTAAGTGTGGTATCCCCATCAAGATTTGAAGAAAAACAACTAACATGGTTTCTTTTGACTAGTTGGTAGACATAGTTTCATAACACAAATCAGTAGGAATAGAAATAAGGATGCATGACAATGCAAAGAACCCTTTCTGCACAAAAGAAGTTACTCTAATAATCAATCATATCCCATCACATCACACCACATACTTCAGTTACAGTTAATCTTTTCTTATAAATGTTTGAATTTTAAACCAGAAAAAGTCCATTGGGGGATGCGTCGATCATCGTCAATAGAAAATCGGGTGTTGGCAGATCTGTTCGTGAATGGAGAGGCATCATCGATGGTTTCTGTTGTTTGTCGGCATAGTGATGGTGGTCGTGGTGAAAGTTCCTCTCTGATTAGAGAGGACCTTCATTCATCGTTTCTTATGGTTGGTTTCATCTCCATCTTTCCAATTTTAAAGAGAGAAAGAACTATCAATCTTGTTGCCACAAATATTTTTGGTTTAAGTTATAATTAATCAAATTACTAATACATCCTCACCTATTAATTAAATAAATAAAATTAATATAATAAATTGATTGACTCACGTTAGATCTCACAATTATCACAAACTGTCGACTTCTCATTTGATTATGTGTGTGTATATATATGGTGAAGGATTGTGTGATAATAATGAGAACTAAGGTGAGAATTGTAAGAAAATATCTCGAACCCCTCTCTCTCTCTCTATATATATACAAAAGGTTACAAACCCGTAAGAACTGATATAAAAATATATTTTTTACATGATTCTTTCATCAACAACCATGATTTAAGATATTGTTTTACATGTATTTGTGTTTACCTTGTGAAAAAATTACTTAAGTTTTTTTGGTTCACTTAATAAAACGAAAAATACAAATAAAAATTAGTCAAGTGATGAAACAAGTACATGTGAAACTATCACATTATGAAAATATATGTGAAACAATATCTTAATCCTAGTATTTGATGAAAAAAAGTCATGTAAAAAATATTTGTAAATCGGTTTTCACGGGTTTATAACTTTTTTTGTGGTTTTCATTTGATATATATATATATATATATATATATATATATCTAGGGGTGGGTTCAAATAAAAATCACTCAATTTGTAAAAACCGTGAAAACCTCATTCAACCAATCATAATTTTTTATTTTGTTCATTTTTTTATAATTATGAGAGGTTGATTAACCATTTTTATTGTGGAGGGTGTTAATCATGATATTATCATCTTCATTATTTTAATTTTTAGAGAAATACATTAAACAGTTTCATTAAAATTTCATTAAGTAGTATATGAAACAAGGGGTGGGTTCAAATAAAAATCACTCAATTTGTAAAAACCGTGAAAACCTCATTCAACCAATCATAATTTTTCATTTTGTTCATTTTTTTTATAATTATGAGAGGTTGATTAACCATTTTTATTGTGGAGGGTGTTAATCATGATATTATCATCTTCATTATTTTAATTTTAGAGAAATACATTAAACAGTTTCATTAAAATTTCATTAAGTAGTATATGAAACAATTTCATAACCACATATGAAACAATTTCATCAAAAAAAGTATTATATGAAACAATTTCACAAGATTAACAATTTCATGAAAAAAATTTATAAGATTAACGATGGATGAGAGTAGTTTTTACGGTTTTTATAAATTGGAGTGGTTTTCATTTGATCGCTCATATATATATATATATATATATATATATATATATATGAGATTGAATTTTGGTGAGAATGAAAGTTTATAGTAAGAAAAGTAAGTATGGATCTCCACTCTTGAATTAATACTAAATGAAGATCAACAGTAATGAGATGCAACCTGATCAATTCCCGTGAAAAACGCCATAGGGTGGGGGTGAGACTAAAAGTGATCAAATGTGCAGATCTCTTCTTATGGTTCTCACTTTAACTTTTATTCTCACATGATCCTTCGTCAGTGTGTGTGTGTGTGTGTGAGTGTGTGTGTATATATATATATATATATATATATATAATGATGGCGGGATATTCTTTTGAGAACCTATGAAAATGTGACAACCTTAAGAACTAGTATATCATGTCTTATTTCATATGAAGTTTTTTCATCTATATCTAGAATTTAATATGGTGACTAACATAAATCAGTTTCACAAAAAATGTGTTTGTTTCACATATACTCGGTTCACAATATGAACATTTTTTGCGTGTTTTTGAAACAAAAAAATAAGAGTAAAAAAGTTTCGCATTATAAAGCAAATACATATAAAACAAGCACATTGTGAAACAAATATACGTTAATCAATACATTAAAAATATTATATTTATATAGGAAAAAAATCATGTAAAACAAAACCTTAAATAAAAGTTGTTATGAATCTTACAAATTTTATAGTTCAGTATATATATTGAATTTTGGATACATATATATATATATATATATATTGAATTTTGGATATATATATATATATTGAATTTTGGATATATATATATATATATATATATATAATATAATATGGGTATATGCATTAAATTTTGTGTGTGTGTGTGTGTGTAAAAATGGGAGTGACCAGCAGTAAGTAGGGTTGTATATGGGGAATGTTTGGGGGGTTTCTTAAAGCAAGGAAATAGCAAGTAAAATTGACAAGTCAGAAGAAAAGCAGTGGTTGGGTTGATGTCATACATTTTTACCCATTTCTATGCCTTAACTTCTGGTATTCATATCAACCTCAAAAGGGTTTCTATAAACCTCCAAAGGGTTTAGCGTCCGGGTCTTTGGCCTCCATTTTCGTCAATGGTTAACTAATTGGCGAGCTCCCAGGATAAATACCAACAAAAAAGAATGTCATCCTGGCCTATTTCAAGTAACTATAAATATTATATACTTTCAAAAAAAGATATGACAAAATAGATAAAAACCCGAATGTATTATCATATTTTATTCATTTCATTTCATGCTGAATAACATATTCAGAATCATATCAAACTACATTTAAACCAAACAAACAAAGCTCTAGATTGAGATAACATATAATCAAAGAGATTGAATTGAAGTTTGGTTGATGATGAAACAGGCTTTTCTGAAAAGTGAGTTCAGTACATAAAGCATGGACCTTGAGCTTCCATCCTCTGGGATCTACATCTGTAACAAGGAACAAAGATTGTACAAAATACTCATCATACGCCAAATTTAATTTCAACAATTAAAACTGGGGACCCTTTGTAAATTAATAATGTACTTTTGGATTATTAAATGTTGTCTGTCTAACCAACTAGCATCTTTCCATCCTGTTGGATTTGGGTCTCCATTCCCATTCTTGATTTCAGATTCTATCCATTCAACTTTTAACTCAAACAAGGACAAATTAAGTCGCACCTGAACTAATTAAGATCTCCATAGAGGGGCTCAGGATCCACGTTCCTTCTAATCCTGAAATCCAATCCGTTATTTCGTTATTAGCAGAAAAAGAAATAAGAAACACGAATTAGAACTGTACTTACCAGTTGTTTGCAGCCCATTTGCAACCTTGGGTATCGATTACATGCAAGCTGTAAGCATGTCTTGATTTTGAAGATTGATTTTCGAAGCTGTAATCAAGATTACATGTAAGATTTAAGGGCTTTGTTTGTTAGCAACATAATGAAATTAATGGGTCTCACAGCTTATTCAGTCAGCTATACATGACTGTTTGGTAGTGGCTTAATGATATAGAAAGTGACTTATCGATAAACTTTTAGGGTGGAGCTTTACGCAGAAAATCAAGTTTTTCTTCCAAAATTGTCCCTCCCGATTAAAAAATACGCTCCTTCTATCTATGAAAAAACTCTCCCAAACAAAAACTTTCTCAATTTATACAGACACATTAATCCACATAGACAACTTTATCCATGTAGGACTTGATGGAAAATCAACCAAACAACCCCTAAGTGATAAAAAACAATGCAATGTCTTCTTATAACTAGATTTGAGTTGAAGTAACAACCTTTGATGAATAAGATCACCATGGATAAGTACCAAAGATCCAGCTTTTACTTCAATGGAAACAAAATCTTTTTGGTCATAAGATGGAGAGGGGTTGTCAAAATGAACCCCTTTATCATCTCTAATAAATCGTCTCACCAGCCCATCTGAAATCAATAACTTCAAATATTATATACAATTCGACAGGAATCAAGAAGGATGAATACACACATATGCTCCAAAAACCACCTTTGTGGGATCCAGGAATAGCCCATAAGCAACCATTAACGATGGTGGCATCTTCTAGGGCCAGCCATAGCCCTGTGCAGCTTGGAGGATCAGTATATAGAAATGAGTTGTCCTGGTGAGGAACCACTTCGCCCCCTATCCCTGGTTGCTGAAATAACAGATACATAACCATGTTTTTGAAATCTTCAAAGTCCCAACATAATAAAATAATGCAATAGTAAACCAAGTGATTCAGGGTCTGTTTGCCAACAGCTTAATGGGACTCACAGCTTATTCAGTTAGCTATGCATGACTGTTTGGTAGCGGCTTAATGAGCTTAACGGGAATCACAACTTATACGGTCAGCTATACATGACTATTTGGTACTTGGTAGTGGCTTAATGATATAAAAAGTAGCTTAATGATATAGAAAGTGGCTTAAGCTTCTAGGGGAAGCTTTGTGCAAAAAGCCTGCTGCTAGTCCCAATTAAAAACACGCTCCTTTCATCTATGAAAAAATCCTCCCAATCTATACAGACAGATTAATCCACGCAGTCAACTTTATCCATACAGAAACTTAGTGGAAATTGAAAACCAACCAAACAGCCCAGTGTAGTAAACCAAACGACCCCAGTATACCCCACGTGACAGTAGGGTCTGGGAGGGGTAGGATGTACACACACCTTGCATCAACCACTAGGATCGAGAGGCTGCCGCATTGACTGAATGATGACAGGCCTCTTGTACACAAACCTTACATCAAAAAGTTACTTCTGCAAATGCATAGAAGAAGTTCTTAGTAAGTGCTCTATACCTTGAATATGTACATTGACTGAATGATGACAGGCCTCTTGTATCCCAATGACAATAATAACCCTGACATTTTATCCGAGCAAGAGACGTTTTTGAAAATAGGATCGTGATCATGCAGAGCTACAAAAAGGAGCATCAAATTATACTCTGCAATATGTTAAAATGTTAAATTTACAAAGACAACTGAATAAAAAAGCATATTCCCCTGTGGGTTCGTTATCTTGGTTCACATATTATATTTTTCACATACCATGGCCAACTTTGTTTATCGAGAGCTGCTTCGGTTGCTTTAATTTTCCATCATCATCAAATGCTTTTTCTGTCAAAAAAATTCAGAGAGCATCAGGTGGTTAAACTCTACTGTGGTGACGATACTGTAGGGGAGGTCCTGCGGAAAAACATCATACTAACAGCTGAAAAAGAATTGCCTTTGAACTTGAAAATATCTTTTCAACAAAATTTAGTTTATGTTTGGCAAATTAGTTGATAAGCTAGGTGTTGGCTCATAACGTAACTGTTAGCTGATAAGCTAATTGATAAACTAGTCATATTTGGTAAAAACTAGCTGATAAAACTAGATGACAAAGTACAATTGGCCTAAAAAGGAGGTGTTGAAAAATCAATTGGAAAATAATAAGGGGCATAATTGGAAAAAGAAATAGAAAAAAAAAACCCGGAGCTTATTAGAACGCTACTTGAAGCTTATGGCCAACCAAATGGGGCTTTCTCAATGAGCTCGAAAAATAAGCTACCTTATGATTGGGCTTTTTCAGTAAGCTCAAAATATAAACTATCTTATGGTTGGACTTTATCAATAAGCTGCTAGCTTATAGTTGCCAAACATGGCCTTGGTCAGCCACGGCAGAAACCAACACTTGATACGAAGTATCGAAATGGATCTAACAAATTTGTACGGTGCAATAGCAAAGATGTTTCAGCATGCTACTGGATACCAAAATAAATGCAATAAATTCCATTTTTGCAAAGTTTCAAACCTAATTGTCCATCTATAATCGTTACAAAACATCAATAGCATCAATTTGATCCACAAGATTCCTCTTATGAGTGCTTAAGATATTCGATTAATAGTCAAAAACTTCAATTGGAATTTCTCATCAACCCAAGAATCCAATCATGTTCAAGATATTAACAACATCTACCTTCAAAGAAAAACGATATCTTGTCCGCACTCTCATAGAAGTAGTCATCACTTGTCCTTTGCTGAACAAACAAATTAACATGAATATTTCAATCGGAGTTAATATAATCTCATCAAATAGATCATTTGTTACCCAAAAATTCATCAAGATTTAATCGTAATTTCAATCACTTATCACTTCTTCATTATTCCCTAATTCAACATTGCACTTTGCTTTCATCTGAATCTAGACAAATCAATGAAGGAGCTGGAAATTGGAACTACAGATATTCATTCCGACTAAAACGGTCAACACACAAGAGAACTTTAAACTTTTAAGTAATAAACTGAACCTGGTTCTTCGTGGAGAAAATTGAGGCAGAGGAAGAGCAATCGAAGCCATCAAGCAATTGGTCCATCCTCTTTCTTAACGCCTCAACCTCTTCAGAACTTGAGAAAGATTCAATAACCAGATACCCTGTAAAATCAGCTCATATTGAAGTAAAAAGCATCAGGGGAAAAGAAGTTAGGGTTCGGGGGAACAAGAAGAACTTCATACCTTGAGAATTGAAGAATTGAAGCTGATCAGAGGTCATAGTTCCGACGATTCCCATGGCTGAATCGGCAATTGATTAGTAGTGATTAAGTTACAGAGATTCGAAGACTATTTTTCCCTGATTATTTCAAGTTTAAAATATCAATCAAGTCAGAGTTTTGTTTTTCTTTCTCATGGTAGGTTCATGGTAATGGCGGTATTTCCTGAAAATTATATTCTAATTTAGAGTAAATTACGTTTTTAGTCCCTGCAGTTTATTTAGAATTTAGTTTTCGTCCCTGTTTTTCATTAATTCCCGTTTTAGTTACTGTGGTCCGTGATTCTTTCCGGTCTTTGTCCTTTTGAGTTTTGACTACCTCCGTTAATTTTTTAACATAATAGATTTCAAAGAAAACTATCCTTATGAGTACCCATCGATCTCCAACATATACTTCTACGGTAGGGGCGGATTGAAGACGTGGGGCGTTACGGGTCAAGCACCCCCAACAAATATACCGTGAAACACTTCTCTAAATTTCGGAGGAGATGCTGTATCTCCACCATAAAGTATGCCATGTCAACCACCAACGTCGTTACATAAATTATCGTGCATCCAAAGTCCTTATAATCAGTTATAACAAAATGCATCAAAAGAGATGTGTTTCCACTACAATAATCACAACAAACAAAACCTGTTTATCCATAGAATCTAACAAAAGGGATCCCAAAATATGTGGGTCCCAAATATATCACAAATCGTTCAATGTTGCTATGTAACTGAAAATCAAATTCACTCTATGGTACAACATCAACCACCATGATGACCATGTTAAATATATTTGCAGCAATCCAGCTTCTTATGTCTGCATCATCCAACGAAAACAGCGGCCTTTTCTCGTTCTGGAATAATAATGTACAACTCGATGTCCTGCTAAACCACGTCGTTCCAGTATACATTCATCGTTGTTGAACCTCAAAATGCTCATCATTTAAGCTCGGAGGATGGAAAAAATAAAGAATTTCATTGTTAGCTTAGCTTTCACAAAATGTGCACCCAAGTTGCCAAACTGGAGAAACCCGTTTCATCCGGTTGATTCTAGAATTAGAATCATGGTGTGGAGGCTGTTCGAGAATCTTCCGTTTTATTTGGACGACACATGCAATTTGGGCATGGGAATGAGTATATGGAGTCGTTTGGCCTTTTCAGTTCGATTCCTTTTGAGTCGCTATGGGCTCGCATGCTTAACATGTGCCTTTTGAATGTTTTCCAACTGGAAGAAATATATCACAAAAAAGATCATTATATACAACTTCTAAATGTTTTCAATTCTATAAAGTGTGAATCTAGATATGTACCCGATCTTGGGATTGTCGAAATATACTGCTAACTTTCGTTTGTCGGGTCTGATTGTCTTGGAATGTCCATTAAACAGATATCTTCTGTGGCCCAGTAAAAAATGGGGAAAGTTTCCGCCTTGAGTCGTTACAAATACTTCGCTATGGAGACAAACGGTATAATCTATAGCAGCCATTCTAGAAGAATAGTTCTAGAAGCAGTAAAACGAGTCAGCTCAAGACTTAACGGAAACCTACAGCTTGGATTCAAATTAGTCGTGAAAGATGATCAAACCTTAAATGGAGCAAGTTCCTCGGCAGATGCGAGCATCTCCTTGGTTTGTAAAAGAGGAAACATTTCTAGAAGAGGAGCCATATGTCTCTCGGAATCGTATATTCTTCCAGATGCTAGAAAGATGGATGTACTTTTATCAAATCCCATTCCTCTAAGCATCAAACCGACCTAATAAAATGTCGAAAGAAGGTAGAATATAAAGGGAATAAGAACCTTTTTGAGTATAGCGAACTAATTTCATAGTCTTCCGATATTTTCAAGCAATTTTCAGTCGACAAACATACAGAAACAAAGGATGTTACCTCCAAAGGTGTGAGGGGGCATTTTCCATTTACCCTATTGGCACCGGGTCGAAGAACTCTACCCGGCTTTGTAAATTTTCCTTTCCAACCCCTCTCCCTTGCAGCTATCATATCTTCACGCTCTTTTGATCCACCATCATACACACAGCAAGAGAAAGCAACCATATCCTGAAAAAGCACGGAAGCCGATATTTGATGAGACATTTTCGTTACATTTTACTTCAATATTATTAACTGCACCATATATCATTCTCCATCACGGACTAATATATAAATAGACTACTGACCTCCTCAAAGCGTAGATGAACGGAAATGTACTTGCCACCATTGTTTGCACTGCGTTCCTTCATCCTTGAAACTAATGTTTCACCCATTGTCAATAGAGGACTTGAAAATCGTAAAGCTTCGTAATTTGCCAAGCATCGAAGACGTTGGACATCAGGAGGAGCATCAAACGACAATCGATTTGCAAATGGAGAAATCCTTATGAACCTGAACCATTAACACATATCAGACACGAAAAGTTAATGTATTTGAGGGAACGCGCACCTTGCCTCATAAAGAGAAGGGAAAAATGACACCAAGAAGTAATGCCTTGAGGGTAATTTCAGAGAATATGTAGCATACTAAACAAATCGTAATGTTATACATACTTATGTCTAGAGATAGTAATCAAGCAATTTGGGTGCGTTTGGTATCCAGACAAGACATGAGAAAATAGGACTGGACAAGATAGAACAACTATTTAGCGTTTGGTAAGACAGGACAGAACAGATAAAAGGACCAGTTCATCCCTAATGAGTTGTTTATATATTTTAAATATATTAATTAAGTTTTGTAATTTATTAGATTATAATAAAAGATATATCTATCATAACAAAATATATCATTAGAAAGTTTTTGTCAAGAAGATTAAAATGATACCAAAATAAAAGGTTTATGCCATTTCCAATTTTTATTTTATACCTTTTCTATATTATTTTTTTGTCATTAATATTTAATAAATTACATAATAAACCAAACTATGGAAACCATATAAAAATAATATTTTGAGGACAGTAAAGTGAAAGTTTAAAAGGAATAAGATAAAATAAATAAAATTTAAAGAATGAATAAAATGTAAAGAGGGAGGCTTATTTGATGTTTTAGAAGAGAATTGGATTTTATTGATAAAATATAGGTTTGTTCCACCTTGTTCCATATTCCACATAAAAGTCATGCTAAACATGGGACAGTGATCCTTGTTCTGTTATGTCCAATGTACCAAAAGCACCCTCAACATTTTCCTATCAAAAAGTGGATAGAGCATTGCACTAGCTAGTCACATGGGAAGAATGGCCAAATGAATACTTTTTGCATATCCAATGTTTTCAATTATTACAAACGAATCAAAGGTCCATAAATCCACATCAGATAGTAAACCATATCGTAACTGAAACAAAATATGCTCACCTTTCTTCTAGCAGCCTCGGAAGAACTGTATCCCTGTAGAACTGAACGGGTGACCAGGCCTTTATTCTGAAGTTGAATACATTTGTCAAATTGCGGTCAAATCGTTCCATCAGGTATCCAGGCACTGTGTCAACCACCCGTACATCATTTTCCAAGGTCTTAACAAAAAAATCTTCATCGTATATCTCACTGAATTTGCTGCAGTAGTCAAAGCACACAAATACTTCAACATAAACATAACACCGAATCTGATCATATAATAGGAAACTTGATTGCTCAAGTAACATGTAAAAAATTCACTTGCAAGAGCGACTATAGTGGAAGATCATGTTCACAAACCTTGGATCCCTCCAGATGCTATGAAAATGAAAATTGGGAATGACAAGTGTTGCGTTAAGATATCCCGCCACAGCAACTGCATTGCAAATCTAGCGACAGAAAGCAATTAGGCGATTGCAAATGAAGAAGACAAGCTACATATGTATTATAATGCTAAAATCGAAATTAAATTGATATGAAAACATTCAAACTACCGATGTCCTCTGCTGATTCAAGCCACCATTTGCCTCAACATATATGTATCCATTCGACTCCGGTAAGCCTAAAAGAATAAAGATAACTAATTTCAAGCACAGTAAACCTACGAAGATATAAAAAAAAGTTGTACATGGTTCTCTGCAATCAACTCATTTCAAGACCCAGTAACTTGAGACATAAATCGGTTAAATTATCGAAATGGAACAAGCAATGGCATTATTAGATCCCAAGAAGCATCCAACTAGCTCTCCTGTTTCGAAGATGGGAAAGTGTTCATACCTCCTGAAAACTTGTTTATACAAGGCCTCCAGTCTCCACCTTTAGCATGTTTCCATATAGTTGACATCTACATTAAGTCTAGTATAAATCAGAAACAAATAGCTGAAGAGGAATATCATCTAAAATCATACTTGCTACATGCTACAAATATCATAAAAAATGGAAGGTATCTTCAAGATTATGTTAAAAGCACAATATGTCAGTTTTGGACTTCTGGGCTACCCAGCCAGTTTAGCATAGAGGTTTAGTTGAAGTTGTATTTTTTTTTCTAATGTTCCCTGTATAAGTCAAAGCATAAATAAATATACATTGAACCAAAACTTGTTAAACCATGTAGGGGAATTGCCTATATTTCTTAAGTGTGCATAACTTGCATCTATTTGTCACTAGTAATGATATCAGATAATTCATCAGCAGCAACATACTAAAACAAGAAAGAAAAATAATAAAAGGAAAATGTCATATATATACACACACCCACATATACATACAAGAGATACACGTTTTATTTCAAAAGCAATATAATATGGGAAGTGTTGATTATGCCCCAAATACAAGTTACAAGATCCACCCTATAATCTACAAAGATGTTCCTTAGAATTCCTCACAGGAGTGACTGGGTGCAAACTGCAACCAGTGAAAGGAATGAAATCTCCCGAGAAGAATCAGCCTGAAAACAAGTTAAGCCACCAAAAGAGAAGAAGTAGAGGGAGCTGACTTTAATGAAGCTTTTCCACATGTTGTCATGTGCAACTCTTTCCTCTTCAAACTCCATTTGCCTTCTATGCATGAATTAGAGTTTTAATACAATTCTATGTAAAATCAACTTTCTTGTGGTGAACTTGAAGAGAATATCTATGTGTCAGCCCAAGGGTTTACATTTGAAGGGTAATGCTGACCATGTTTATTTGCTTAAAACTACTTGCATGGTTTGAAGAAGCCTCCCAGGCAATGGTACAAACATTTAGGTTCTGTTATACAACACTTGGTTACAAGAAGAGCCTATATAATAGTTGTGTAGTTAAGGGAACTTCCAAATGACTTATTTATTAACTATTATATGTCAATCATATGTTGATTCTAGCCAGAGAAAAAACTGAAATTGAAAGGTTAAAGCAACAATCAAGCACCGAATTTGAAATTTAAAAATTTAGGAGGCAGCAAAGAAATAAAAAAATCCTTCTCACAGAAATTTGGAAAGTTCAGAAGACTAGGATCAATATTAACAACCAGCTAGAATGTTCTACACAAAACATGTATGCAACCATCTATGGTGGTTTCTTCTGACCTCTCAAGTTAATTATGTGAATACTACACCCTTGTACATAAAGGCTATGTTCATTTTATAGACAGCATATAGTATAAACATTCAATGTTAAATATCTGATTAGTTTACTTGCATTTTGAACAAACCAATAAAAACACTAGCAAACATCAACTTCTTTCGAGTCCTTGGCTTCACTCCACATATGAAATGAGCATCATATCAGAAGAAAGACACTAGGAAACAGCAAGACATGATATGTCATCCTTTTATACACAATAAATCCTGGCATTACCAAGCAAAAAAACAAGGGGTTGGCGACAAATGTATTACTTAGTTCCGCACCAATTAAATGTTACAACTACATCCATTAGTAAAGTGATAACCCTGTGCTTCTCTAACTCCCGCCAAATAACACATCTACAAACTTCTTCATAAGCAAATCAGATCAATAGAAAGCATGGATTATTTTCCACCATATATCTTGTTTTGATCTTGTTAAACAGATCTGCTTTCCATGCTTGACCTCAGCATTGCAATAATTTTGCAACTTAAGATACTACTTCCACCTTGTATGCCATGTTCTCGGCTGCTGTTTAAATTTATAAGATACATGGATATATATACATTTTAATTTCCAGCTTATTATATATAATGAACAATCTTGAAGTTACCATCTTCCATGGTAGTTTATACTCTTCTACAGGCTACAGCTATTGTCATCTTCAGCCAACAAAAAGAATTGAAAAATAATAAAAAGTCAAGTCTTTTTCAAGAACCCAGAGCTTCAGAGTTAGAACCAATACAGGTGAATTAGAATTTATTGAATGTACAGATCTAGCCAAGGCAAAGGAAATATATAATATCTGTCTTATCTCTCACTTTCAATCCATATATGTATAGACATAGTACTATAGTTTTAAAATTTCAAGCACTTGTAGCCTCCATAGTTTGTGAATTCTTCACAGCAGCTTGAACAAAAACCAGGCATCACCATCTCACTATTATTATTGTAATTGCTCATATATGCAAAAAGCTAATCGAGTACACCATCATTTAATTAGGTTACTGTAATTCAAAAATCGGAACAAGATCTTAACGAAAAAACAGGATCCAAATCAAATTAGGTCAAACTTTGGAAACTACTAACCGCATCGGTAGTCGAATTATCAGCATCCATCTCGTGGCGAAGTTTAGCATAGAGTTCGGGACTCCGATAGACTGATCCGGGAGCCCTCCGAGGCTTGATTGCATCGGGAACAACGTCAAAAGAGACAGTCCCCATGTAAAACAACATACCGGAGATGTAGAGAAGAGGAGCGAAAAGGAAGATCCCTTGGCGACGTAATAGGAGGGATAAGACGATCCAGGCAAGACGTTGAGCAAATGAACGGTTGGAAACACCAAAACCAAATCGGGGGGAGGGTTTTCCGGAGCGAGGGTGGCGGAGGCGAGGGGAGCGGAGGGGGGAGGCAGGTGGCGAAGGGGTATTGTGTCCACTAGTGGGCAGCCGGATTTTAGCGTGCATCTCTCGGGTATAGATCACATTATAGGGGTGGGGAATCCGAATCAAGGGCCTTCCCCTTCGCCCCCTTTATACGCCGGAGATATAGATGTAGAGTGAAAAAATAGAGATGTGTGTGTGTGTGTGAGTAACAGAGAATGTAATGTGTGTTTTTGTGATGAACTAAGGGAGAGAAAGAGAGAAAGAGATGAAGATTCGAAGAGTATTTGATGTGGTAGAGTGCACGTGGACGGCGGAACACGGTGGCGGACGGTGGTTGTAGATGACGTCAGGAAATGGCGGATTCGGTGTCTCGTGAGGAACAACCGTGGTTTGCTCCGTGTTCCACTTCCACTGCTTCCTTTTTGTACAAACCATTCCACAATTATTATTTATTTACTAAATAAAATAATCTTAATATAATAAAATCATTAAGCTATAATAATAAAAAATAGAAATATTTTATTTTTTATATATTTAAAAAAAAATTAATTAAAATAATCATTTTGATCGCATGATTCATCTCTTAAAAGTTGTTTGTTTACCTCTTAATCGTTCCATTAAAAAGCAGTTTCTATATCGTTAAAAAGTGAATTTTATTTGACAAAAAACAAGTCTGTATTTTAATGGTTCTAAAATCATCTGAATGAGTTTGTATCTTGATTCTCTTTTAATCATTCAGTGCCCTAATTTCATTGTAAATAATTCTGAAACAATTATATTTCATTTTACATTATATTATGAGAGTCTCTTGATCTTTCTGATCACTTAATCAATTTGCACTAAACCATTCAACAACTACCAAACAGCCTTTTAGTCATTTCTCTTCCGTAATTACCAATATATCACTCGGTCTATAAGTGTGACAAGTCTGCATTATATAAAGGGGTCAAAATATAAAAATATAAGTTTTTAAACCAGGTCCACAATATACAAAGAGTAAATCTATAAAGGAGGACCACCAAAAATATGTCTGTAACTACCCATGTGTTTTTTTAAATTTACATATTTATACCCTACATTTTGCAAAACTTCTTTTTTTCACATTTTGATCCCTTCGAAATATACTGACTTGCCATTATTTATGTTTTGATGATTTTAAAAGAAAAATGGTTAAAATATAAAAATACAAACCAAATATAACTATTTTAATTAATTTTCCTATAAAATGCAATGGATAAAATTCGCATTGGTCAAAAATACAACCATACTAAAAAATCATGTTCATAACTATGTATCGAATTTATATAATAATAAATACGATTTCAAAAATTATTATTCCATGTTATAAATTATTATTAATATTATTTTATTATGTATTTAGGCAATTTTTAAATTATTTGGCATATATTTACCAAAAAATTATTGAACGTATTTCCTTTTTTCACCAATTTTTTTAGTTTTATATATCAAATAATACATAAATCAAAAGTTAACTTATTTTTAGATATATTAGTTTAAATTAAACTCTATAACCGTAATAAAATCAAAATATTATAGATCCCTCGTCAAACTTTCTAGTGACGGTGTTTGAATTTTAATCGATAAATAAATTCAAACATATATAAATTTAGGGCTAGTTTACCTAAACATTTATCTGGTAAGCGTTTAATTGTAAAATTCAACGTTATCGCTTATCGTCATTACTTACCGTCTTACCAGATAAGACTCTCAGTTGTTACATTCGTTATTATCGGGTAATATTTTTGTTCCTTACGATATTCATCTAATGTGACGTGGTAAACATTAACCCAAATAAGCATTTGGTAAACGGTCACACCATAAAAACAATAGCGCTTTGATTATCATTCTTGCCAAGTTTTTGGGAGTTGACTTTTTGTATAAATGATAAGTCAAAACCAAACATAAATATATCATTACAAATTGTTTATTGAGACGTTAGAAATGATTAAAAGAAATTGAGATTTAACAATACATTATTGGGCCTGAAAAGTTGAATAATTGTGGGCCGATTACACAGGACAGGCTTATTAATCAAATCGTACAATAAGAGGGGCCCATTTACGCGTAGGGCCCAATCTTTCATTCTGCATTCTGCAACAACCAATGGGCTTACCCATTGACCCGGTTCGGACAATTAACCCCACCCTTGTCTCGCTTTAGAATAACTAGAAGGGGATTCGTGACATGCAACGAAATATATCTTAATTTTAATATTTTGTTCTATTTTTTATCTCAGTCGATGTTATAATATGTTCTTATTTGATTTTGAAAAAGTGATAATGTTTTTATTTTTTAATAAAATATAAATTTGAAGATATCATAAAAATTTGACAAAAATATATCGATATTAGTGCCAAATTAACTATTTAAAATTTTTCATTTTTTATGTAATTTTTTAATTAAATTATTTTATTATAATTTAATTTAGGTTCAATAATAAAGTAATTTATATTCTATTTAATAACATAATTTTTATAAAGGTAATAATTAATTATTTTGTTATAACTCAATAATTATCCTAATTATATTTTAGATTTTTTATATTATAAAATAATATATTTATTCTCTATTTGATTATGTTTATTCGCAGTTAGTTACAAGAATTCAAACATAGAGCTTTAATAAGTTATATCTTGAATTTTAAGTAATATGCATCAATAGACAGTAGTTCATGCATAAAAATGAGTTTTAAGAGTTTCTATCAAATATTTTATAATATAATATAGATTATATAAATTTGTTAAATTGTATAACTGATTTTAAATGTAAACTTGTTAATTTCTATAAGTTAAATTTTTTATTGATGTTTAAGTTAGTAAACAGTACATATATTTATGTAAGATAATCAAGGTTCATTTATTTGGGTTAATATTTAAATTAAAAGATAATCGATATATTTATTGGTAAAATTGATTTATATGATTTATAATAACAAAATATTATTAAATCAATTATTTCTAGTCTTCTTGTATATTATTGACCTCGATCAATCAGAATATTCACAAAAATCATTCCTTAAAAATTGATTACCGTTTTGTATTTTCTAAAATTGAAATTATTTTATAAATGGCCTTATAATAAGTTTTTTGAGTAAATTACGGATTTGGTCCCTGTGGTATCGTGTTTCTTACAAATTTGGTCTTTAGACTTTATTTATTATGGATTTGGTCCTTAGACTTCATTTATTGTGGATTTGGTCCTTGTCATATGCACTTTTTCATGGTTTTGATCCCTAGACTAAACGGTCGTTCAACAAATCTATTAAAACCAAGGGTAATCATTTCATTTTCTTGAATTTCATTTTCTAATTAGAGGCAAAAATGTAAACACATAAACTTAGAGGGCCAAAGATGAACATCATTCATCTTCTTCTCCAAGCCTCCATCCCTCCGTCAAAGACCATCTGCCATTGTGGGTAGCTCCATTGTCTACGTTTTCTAGCTCCCACGATCATTTCTTCCTTCAAAACATACACACACACACTCCCCCCCCAACTCTCTCTTCCCCTACAGTCATCGACTCCACTTCGTACACAAATGTTTTCAGGAAGCCATCAGAAACTTTGCTTTTGTTTATGGAATCAACATACACACATAGTGATAGGGGTGGGTTTCATCAAAACATAAAATACACACACTTACACACTAGCAGGGGTAGGTTCACGGTGGTAAGATGACGACGGTGGTGTAGGTTCACTAAGGTAGGAGTGGATTTGATCATAATGCATAACATGTACGACTTACGAGGCTACATTGGGGGTCACAGAGTAGGGAGGAAAGAGGAGAGGGGTTGACACCGAAGATGGAGGGAATGGAAGAACAATGAGTTATGAGTAGAGTGGGATCATGGTGGTGAGGTGCGCCGATGGTGGTGGGTGGGTTCATGGTGGTGTGAGGGAAAACAGTGGCCAGTTAGGGTGGACAATGGTAACCCGCGATTGGAGAAAATCTAATGGTGACAGACGATCTTTGTCCATGTGATCATGGATATATGTATGCATTATCCATAGCTTGTTTTGGTAGCTTGTTTTGTTAACCTAATATATGGTGTTAACTTTGTTGACCCATCACAACCCTTCATCTTGGAAATCAATGAATCATATTTATGATGGCATTTTTGTAATAATAATGAGCATGATACGTTAACTTGCAAGATGAACATACACGAACAAGGATATTATTGGAAGAAAAATCATTCTTTACTCCCGATCTTTAGTTACTCTTCCGTTACACATCATTTACGTATGAACACATACTGAACATTGTTCACAACTCTTCCATTACATATTGTTCACAATATTTCCGTACACATTGTTTACATATAAACACACACTAAACACGTATTAAACATTAATTGTTTACAACTTGTTACACATTGTTCACATATGAACACAAAGAACAAATGATGAACAATCTTTACATGTATGTTTGTGGAAAAAAAACATATTAATTAAGCTATAAACATGGAATTAGATTATATTATAAAAATAAACATATTAATTAAGCTAAAAACATGGAATTATATTATATTATAAAAATAAACATATTAATTAATCTATAATTATGGAATTGGATGATATTGTAGCGGCCCATTAATTTAAATCGATTTAGAATAAAAAGAAAAATTATCTCTATACCCTCAACATCAATTACCATGTGAGAGATGAACCTAATATAAAAAAAAATTCATGGTTAACAAATGATCATAGCTCTCACTACACACACACACACACACACACACACACATATATATATATATATATATATATTGAGAAGTGGTAAATATTTAAGAAATAAATAAATGACCTTAACTCTTCATACGATCAAAATCGGATTTGAATGGTCAACAATTACGGTTATACAAAAAATAAAGAGAGTATTTTTCATAGCTTTTACAAATATGTGGCAAACGGGTTCATATATGAACTATATGTTTATATGCAAACGCGTAATTTCACATATGAGTTATATGTTCATATGTAAACGTGTAATTCACATATGAACCCATGTGATTCACATATAAACTAATTAAATAATTCACAAATGAACCAATTAACCGATTCACATATAAACAATTATGGATTTTTATGACTGTCATCTTCAAGGTCTTATAGAAGTAATAGAGGTTTGTGAAAACTATGTCTAACACCCACCATTACCAAAAAAAAAAATCACACAATTAGATATTGCCTAAATCACAAGGGGTTACAGCATAATAGTGGAGGCCCTAGGGATTCCCATTTGCTCATATTCTATTCCATGCATACACAAAAATTGTAGTTACTGAGTTTATCAAAGCTGATTTCTTGTCATCATAATTTATCGGGAT